TCCTTTCTATACCCCAGTTCACTGTTCTGCCCTCCCAGATGGGTGCAAAATCCTGATCCAGCTGCCAGTGCAGTCCCCACCTGGCCCAGCCCATTTATACAACCAGCCCATGTATACAGTTCTTGGGCAGCCTTCCCTAAGGTTTTAATAGGCTTTATAGGGATTTGACTATGAACTTTTATGGGGACTGCCTGTATATAATATGGTGTTTGAACAATGCCCAAATCGCATAACATCCTGTTTCACAGAACATATCACAGATGTCAGTGATCCATACCTGTGTACAATTTATTAAAACAATTCCATTCAGGGTAATAAAAGTAATGACACAAGTTTAGTTTCTGGATTTTCTAATGTATTTGAATGATAAAGACCAAATATTAAAGATGGCTTTACAATATATTACTTAGTAAAGGCAAGAATTCAGACCCACACTGTATTTCTGTTCAGTGTAAATCATAATCTCAATTTCACTCCTACAAACATTGAGGCTCTGAGATTCTGTCCATAATCATAGTTAGTGTCATAATGTCCTAGCTCCAAGGCATCCATCAGCTTGATCAATTTACTCGGTTAAGATATTTTATTTCTTTACATTGTTGTTGTCAGGTGCCATCAAGTCGGAACCGACTCATAGCGACCCCATGCACAGCAGAACGAAACAATGTCCGATCCTGGGCCAACCTCACCACTGCTGCCACACTTGAGTCCATCAATGATGCCACCTGGCTGATCCATCTCGTTGGGGGTCTTCCTCTTTTTCTCTGACCCTCCACCCTACCCAACATGACATCCTTCTCCAACGATTGTTTCCTCCGGACAATATGTCCAAAGTAGGAGAGACGAAGCTTAGCCATCCTGGCCTCCAAGGAGCACTCTGGCTGCACTTCTTCCAAAACAGATCTATTGGTTCTTTTGGCAGTCTATGAAACTTTCAGTATTCTCCTCCAACACCACAACTCAAAGGCATTAATTCTTCTACGATCCTCCTTATTCACTGTCCAGCTTTCGCATCCATATGAGGCTATTGAAAACACAATGGCCTGGGTCAGGAGCACCCTAGTCCTCAAGCTGACATCTCTGCTCTTCAACATTTTAACAAGTTCCTGTGCAGCAGATTTGCCCAGTGCAATACGTCGTCTGATCTCTTGACTGCTACTTCCGCAAGTGTTGATAGTTGATCCAAGAAGAATGAAGTCCTTGACAACTTCAATCTTTTCTCCATTGATAAGAATGTTGTTTATTGGTCCAGTGGTGAGGATTTTTGTTTTCTTGACATTGAGATGTAAATTTCTTTACACAGAGATCATAATATTTCTATAGTCCACAAGGTATTATTGTGATTTGCTGGAAATTGTGAGGATGAGACAAGATTGGGCAGCATTTTATTCAATGGCAGCTAACAACAGCAGCATTACTATGACTGGCCAACAAGAAAACAACATAAAAGCATTTATAAAATGTTATGGTATCATACAAATATACATAATAATACAAATTTATAATTGTATAAAGGAAAAGATCTGATTCTCATCTAAAGCAAAGCAGGAATACAGAAAGTGGACAAAATTAATCATGCCCCATCCTATTTAGTCACTGAAAATCTTATGAATACCAGAGAAACACTGTCAGATACAGTGCCGGAAAATGAGCCCCTCAGGTTTGAAGGCACTCAAAATGCTTCTGGGGAAGAGCTGCCTCCTCAGAGTAGAGTTGACCGTGATGACGTGAATGGAGGGAAGCCCGTGGGACCTTCATTAGGTGATGGGGCACAACTCAAAACTAAGAGAAACAGCTGTAAACATCCATTAATAAACAGAACCTGGAAGGTACGCAGTATGAATCTAGGAAAATTGAAAATTGTCAAAAATGAAATGAAACACATAGACATCAATATCTTAGGCATCAGTGAGCTGAAATGGACTGGTATTAGCCATTTTGAATCTGACAATCACATGGGTTACTATACCGGGAATAACAAATTTGAAGAGGAATGGTGTTGCATTCATTGTTAAAAAACACACACATATCCAGATCAATCAAGAGGTACAACACTGTCTGTGAGAGAATAATATCCAAGTGCCTCAGGGAAGCCCAGTTAATACTACTATTATTCAAATTCACGCACCAACCACTAAAACCAGTGAGGATGAAATAGAAGAATTTAACCAACTTCTCCATCTGAAATTGATCAAACATGCAGTCAAGATGTATTGATCATTACTGGTGATTGGAACGCAAAGGTTGGGAACAAAGAAGAAAGATAAGTAGCTGGAAAATATGACCTTGGTGATAGAAATGATCCTGGAGAACACATGATAGAATTCTGCAAAACCAGTGATTTGTTTATTTCAAATACCTTCTTTAGACAGCATAAGAAGATAATTGTACACATGGACCTCACCAGATGGAATACATAGAAATCAAATTGACTACATCTGTGGAAAGAGGTGGTGGGAAAGCTCTATATCAGCAGTAAAAACAAGGCCAGGGGCAGATTATGGAACAGACCATCAATTGCACATATGCAAGTTCAGGCTGAAACTGCAGAAAATGAAAACAAGACTATGAGAGCCAAATGTGACCTTGAATATATCGCACCAGAATTTATAAATCATCTGAAGAACAGATTTGATACATTAAACACTAAAGACTGAAGACCAGAAGAGTTGTGGGATGACATCAAGAACAGCATACAGGAAGAGAGCAAAAAGTCATTGAGAAGACAAGAAAGAAAGAAAAGATCAAAATGGATGTCAGAAGAGATACTGAAACTTGCTCTCCAGTGTAAAGATGCTAAAGCAAATGGAAGAAATGAGGAGGTCCAAGAGCTGAACAGAAAATTTCAAAGGTCAGCTCAAGAAGACAAAGTCAAATATTACAACAGAATGTGCAAAGATCTGGAGTCAGAAAACTAAAAGGGAAGAACATGCTCAGCATTTCTCAAGCTGAGGGAACTGAAGAAAAAAAATTCAAGCCTCGACTTTCATTATTGAAGGATTCTCTGGGCAAATTATTGAATGATGCAGAAAGCATCAAAATAAGAAAGAAAGAATACACAATCACTGTACCAAAAACAAATGGTTGATTTTCAACTGTTTCAAGAGGTAGCATATGATCAAGAGCCAATGACACTGAAGGAAGAAGTCCAAGGTGAATTAAAGGAATTGGCAAAGAACAAGGCACCAGGAATTGATGGAATAAAAATGGAAATCTTTCAAGAAAATGAGGCGGCACAGGAGGCACTCACTCATCTCTGCCAAGAAATTTGGAAGACAACTATCTGGCCGACTGATTGGAAGAGCTCCGTATTTGTTCCCATTCCAAAGAGAGGTGACCCAACAGAATGCGGATATTATCAGACAATATCTTTGATATCTATGCGAATAGAGATTTACTAAAGTAATACAGAATGGCTGCAAGCATACATTGACAGAGAACTTTCAGAGGTTCAAGCTGGATTCAGAAGAGGACGTGAAATGAGGGATATCATTGCTGATGTCTGATGTTGGCTGAAAGAGAATACCAAAAAGATGTTTACCTGTGCTTTATTGACTATGCAAAGGTTTTTGAGTGTGTGGATCATGACAAGCTATGCACAGCACTGTGAAGTATGAGTATTCCTGAACACTTAATTGTGCTCATGAGGAATCTGTACATGGACCAAGAAGCAGTTGTTTGAACAGAACATGGGAACAATGAATGGTTTAAAATTAAGAAAGGTTTGTGACATGATTGTATTCTTTCACCATATTTATTCAACCTCTATGCTGAGCAAATAATCTGAGAAGTTGGGTTTTATGAAGAAAAACGTGGCATCAGGATTGGAGGAAGACTCATTAACAACCTGCGATATACAGATGATACAACCTTTCTTGCTGAAAGTGAAGACTTAAAATACTTACTGATGAAGATCAAAGAACACAGCCTTTGGTATGGATTGCATCTCAATGTCAAGAAAACAAAAATCCTCACCACTGGACCAATAAACAACATTCTTATCAATGGAGAAAAGATTGAAGTTGTCAAGTACTTCTTGTATCAATTATCAACACTCATGGAAACAGCAGTCAAGAAAATCAAACAATGTATTGCATTAGGCAAACCTGCTGCACAAGACATTTTTAAAGTGTTGAAGAGCAAAGATGTCAGCTTGAGGACTAAGGTGAGCCTGACCCAAGCCATGGTATTTTCAATAACCTCATATGTATGTGAAAGCTGGACAGTAATAAGGAAGACTGTAGAAGAATTTATGCTTTTCAGATATGGTGTTGGAGGAGAATATTGAAAGTGCCATGGGCTGCCAAAAGAACCAATAGATCTGTGTTGGAAGAAGTACAGCCACAGTGCTCCTTGGATGCCAGGATGGTCAAACCTCGTCTCTCATATTTCGACATATCGTCAGGAGGGACCAGTCGCTGGAGAAGGATATCATGTTTGATAAGGTGGAGGGTCAGAGAAAAAGAGGAAGACTCCCAGCAAGATGAATTGGCAAAGTGACAGCATCATGGGCTCAAGCGTGGCAACAATTGTGAGCTTGGTCCAGGACCAGGCAGTGTTTCGTTCTGTTGTGCACAGGGTCGTTCTGAGTTGGTACCTACTTGATGGCACCTAGCAACAACAACCACAACATCCTTTTCCTTCTTCAGTGTGGCTGTTTTAATTTCTCACCAGCATTCCTTAACGTTTTAATAGTCTTCTCTGTGAGCTACTACTTCTCTCCTTTCCTCTAGCCTCTTACCTATATGCCCATTTACATGTCCCTCTCAGTACCTGGTTTGTTACCCTTCTGTTAAGGAGCTCTGGTAGCGTAGTGGTTACAAGTTGTGCTACTAACCTCAGGGTCAGCAGTTGGAAACTACTAGCCATTCCGCGGGAGAAAGATGAGGCTTTCTGCTCCCATAAAGATTTACTGCCTCAGAAACTCTGTGCAGGGTTACTATGAGTTGAGACCCACCCCAAGGCACACCACCAGCTCCCTTCCATTACTATTTGTTTACCTTCCAGCACCAGGTTCTGTCATTGCAATAGCACCGATGCATTTGCCTGCAGTCATCTGGGGGATGAAGCGCTTAATCTGTTCTTCTGAGCCATAGTTTGCAATATAGGGCATGACAATATCCGAATGAAGACTAAAGCCTGGGCCAGTGCAATTTGAATATGCTCTTAGAAGAAAAACAAGAGAAAATTTGAAGCACGATATAGTAATTTTATTCTGTTTTTTGTTTCTCTGACTTGCAATTTTTGAACAACAAAAATAAAGAACTTACTACATTGTATGGTCTCCCCATGAAAACTATGAATTTCTTAAAAGTTCTCTCTCTCTTTTTTCTTTCTTCTGACTAATCTTTTCATTTCTTGCTCTAACATAATAAAAACACTCTAAAACATGTTTAATGAATTAAGAATTAAGAGAGAAAATATAACACAAATGACCTACAATTGTATTACCCCAACACAACAACTACTTTCTTTTTGGCAAATTACATTTTTCATAAAGATAAATTCGAACATAACTGAAATGATGGTATGTACATTTTGTAGTTTGCTGTTTTAATTTTAAATTATATCACACACACATACACAAAACCTGTTTTATATCTTTTTAACATAATATTAAATAGCTATATGAGGCGTGCAATGGCTTAGTAGAATAAGCACTGGACTGTGAACCACAAAGTTAGAGATTCAAGCCCACTCGTTGGGAGAAAGGTGAGGCTTTCTGCTCCCACAAAGGTTTACAGTCTCAAAACTTCTATTCAGGGTTGCAATAAGTCAGTTGCAATAAGTGCTTTACGGCAGTTGACAACAACAATAACAACAAATAGATATAAGACATTCCAAATTCTTTATATACCATAATTTACTTATTTATTCTCCTACTGCTAGACATTTAGATTGCTTCCAAATTTGAGATTATGATCTAACATGTTAATGCTTTCTAAACATATATTCTATTTTTTTATTAAATTATTTTCTTAAGATAAACTTCTAAAAATGGAATCTTGGGTTAAAGAGAATAAACAAATTAATTTTTTATATATATCTCATTTTTAATTGCCAAAGTATTTATCATTTTAGCTTATAATGCCACCGAGTCTATGAGTATGTTATTTTCACTGCTATCTTCTCAGCACTGAGTATTATGACTTCTGAAATTTCCACGAATTTTGTAGGTATTCAAAGTGAAATTTTCTGGTTAATTTAATTTCCATTTGATAATAAACATAAATCTTGGTTTAATTAAAATATTTGCATTCCTCTTTTGATTGTTTGAAAAATATTTTGTCCATTTATCAAATGAATTTTTGATTTTTAAAATATATTGACTATATTTCATTATAAAATAGGAAAATAACTGCTTATGACAATCAGAAATTAAATTATCCCTTTAATTTTCAACACCTAAGGAGCTCTGGTTGCATAGTGGTTATGAATCAGGCTCCGAACCTCAAGGTCATCAGTTCGAAACTACCAGCTGTTCCTTGGAAGAAAGATGAGGCTTTCTGCTCCCGTAAAGATTTATGGCCTCGGAAACCCTGTACAGGGTCGCTATGAGTCGGAACTGACTCCTCAGCACATAACAACAACAATTTAACAACTTAAAAGTGGATTTCCTTGTTGTCCCACTCAAAAATATATATAAATATATACAAGTGTTGAAGAGCAGAGATGTCAGCTTGAGGACTAAGGTGCGCCTGACCCAGGCCATTGTGTTTTCAATAGCCTCATATGGATGCGAAAGCTGGAAAGTGAATAAGGAAGATTGTAGAAGAATTGATGCCTTTGAGTTGTGGTGTTGGAGGAGAATACTGAAAGTACCATGGACTGCCAAAAGAACCAATAAATCTGTTTTGGAAGAAGTGCAGCCAGAGTGCTCTTTGGAGGCCAGGATGGCTAAGCTTTGTCTCTCCTACTTTGGACATATTGTCCAGAGGAAACAGTCGCTGGAGAAGGATGTCATGCTGGGTAAGGTGGAGGGTCAGAGAAAAAGAGGAAGACCCCCAACGAGATGGATCAGCCAGGTGGCATCATTGATGGCATCAAGTGTGGCAGCGGTAGTGAGGTTGGCCCAGGATCGGACATTGTTTCGTTCTGCTGTGCAAGGGGTCGCTATGAGTCGGTTCCGACTCGATGGCACCTGACAACAACAACATATACAAGTGTATTGTTGTAATTGTTAAGTGCCATTAAGTCTATTTCTATTCACGACAAACCTGTATAAGGTTTCCCACGAGTGGCTGGTGGGTTTGAACCACAAATCTTGAGGTTAGTCATACAGTGCTTATTCTACAGCACCACACTAGGACTCCATGTATGTGTACGCTGTTGTTGTTAAATGTCGTTGAGTCGGTTCTGACTCATAGCAACCCTGCATAGAGTTTCCAAGGAGTGACTGGTGAGTTTAAACTGCCAACCTTGTGCTTCAAATCGACCATGCAGTCCAGTGTATTATCTTACAGTGTCACACCAGGACTCCGTGTAAATGCATGTTGTTGCTGTTGTTAAGTGCCTCGAGTTGGCTCCAACCCATAGCGACCTTGTATATAGGGTTTCCGAGGAGCAGCTGGTGAGTTTGAACTGCCAATCTTGCAGTTCAAACAGATTTGTAGCTTGGCACATTAACCCACATTGCCACACCAAGACTCCATGTAAGTGTATAGTTGTACACAATTAAAACTATTTCCAATCTTCCAAGAAGATCAGATAGTATTTTTTTGCTATCTCTGGAAGATGAACAATGTGCATACAAAATAAATGACACGACTACAAATGTCTCCATACTTACTGTTCTTCCCAAACAACAGCTGCTGAATAGAGGTCCCCACCAATGCCACCATGATGCTCTGCAATGTTGACACCGAGCAGTCCTTGTTTTCCAGCTTTTTCCCAAAGCTCCCTACTTACTTCTCCAGCTTTCTCCCATCTATAGATAACAAATATTAAAAATTAGAGGGACTCATAATATTTTAAAGGCACAAACCTTGAATTTATAAATGATTTATATAAGAATGCTTCTTTAATTTAAAGCAACTGTTTTTGACATGGTCATACCCTTCTACTTGCATACGACTTTAATAATTTCTTTTCTTTTTTTTTCTTGCTTCTTCATATTTACCATTTGACCTTTCCTCTCTCTTTTGACTACTTATTGGACTTTCGAATTGCCCCACTGATATTCATGGGTGTTGTTCAATCAGCTGGTGCTCTTAAGGTGCAATCTTAATTTTTCCAACCTGCCTTGACAAGGCAATTATGGCCTATATATTTCCTTGAAGTGCATAACCTTATAGAACAAACACATACACCTGGCAAGAGCAATAAACTTTATTATGATTTAAACTGGAAAAACAAAAGAGCTGAAGTAACTTGTAGCATAGTTCTATGAAGAAACTTCTCAAAAGATGAGATATTTATGTAAAACAGTGCACAAATAGCAAATATCATGAAGATGGAGTACAACCAAGCAGCATCTTGCTCTGTGGTTCATAGGTCATTATGAGTAGAAACAACTAACACCAACAGTGCTTACGTTAGAAACGACAATGACATGATGAGAAAGCCGATGGCTAGTTGGAAATAGTTAAGGAATCAGAGCATTTTGTTGTTTCTTGAAGTGATAGATACAATTAGGAAGATATGGGGCTGTTTGAAGATACTGATTAATGATAGATTCAGGTATTACAAGAAATTTTATGTCAAAGAGTTTGTTGTCATGTGTGTTTTGATATAGTTATTTCCCAAAGCAGCTCTGGAAAGATTTGTATTGTTAGCCCCAAATTTGTTAACTTCTACTATTTCTACCTCAATGTGTCACCAACAATTTTTCTGGAACAAAGTTTTAAAATACATAAATAAATAAATAAACAAAAGCTTCTTTAAAGTGAAGTGCTCTGTTTCTTTAGTAAGAAGCGAGTTAGTTGCTTTTCACTGAAGACTGGATATGAAAAAAATATTTTTTTCATATAAAAATGAAGACTGGTCATAATTGAGGTTTCACTAATTCCAGTTACTTTTTATCAACAGAGTATTAAAATAAAAACCTAAGTGTACGCTGCTTCAAAATAATTTTAAAATATTATTGTAAATATATAAACGTATTGATATTGAGTGAATTTTGGAAACAGAGCAAAGTGCTATTTTAATATGAATGATAGTTTTTTTGTCAAAAAAGTTGTTATTGTTGTTCTTAAGTGCCATCGAGTCAGTTCTGACCCATAATGACCCTGGACAGGGTTTCTGAGGAGTGGCTGGTGAGCTTGAAACACCTACCTTGTGGTTCAAACCAACATTGCAGTCTGGAGCATTAACCCACAGTACCACACCAGGACTCCATCAATCAAGTAGGGGATCAATAATCAATCAATCAATTGTTTATGTGAAAAAGTACTTTGAGGTAGACAATTTGCCTAGAAAGATTTGCATTATGTTACCCTTTGAGGTTCAAAGTATTTTAATTCACTTATGGAGTACCTGGGTGGTGCAAACAGTTAACTTGGTTGGCTGCTAACTGAAAGGCTGGTGGTTGGTGTCCATCTAGAGGCGTTTAAGAGGAAAGCCCCGGCAATTTACTTCGGAAAAATCAGCTATTGTCAATCCTATAGAGCCCAGTTCTACTCTGGAACATATGGGGTCACCAAGAATTGGCATCAACTCGACAGCAACTTGCATTAAGAATATAAAATTGACTAAAAATTTTTTGCCACTTAATCACAGTTTAAAAAATATACTCCTCTTAGATTAAATTGCAAATTTTCTGAAACTTCCCACTTTGAATGGTATCTTTCAGAATCCATCCAGAGAACTCTGAATTAAATTATGAACCACTAGGTCCTAGAGTATTTTGGTGAAGAGCTAGAAAAATGATAATCACCTACAAAACACATGATTTTTCTTGTGCAGACAGATTTCTAGAAAATCGTACTTACACACACCTAGCATGAATTACACGAAAGGAAAATGTGCCACTTACTCTGCATGATAAGGAACCACTTCTTCTTGAAAAAATTTCCTTACACTTTCCCGGAAAATGTCGTGCTCTGAAGAAAAGATTCGTCTAATTCCTATGTCTGTTAATTTCTTAGCAGAACAAGTTTCTAGACGTTCGACTCCAGAATGAGAACATCTTTAAAAATACATAAAAAAAAAAATTATTAAAGGAATGCTGCTTTTCATACCCAAATTAGTGCCACCAAACAATGGAAGGAAGATTAATTCTACTGAACGTGATACACCCCACCCTACTGAGACAATGTGGAGGTAAGTATAAAGAACAGAAGGACTGAAGCTTGATAAACCTCGGTGCAAACTTGACCATCATCACTTTTGACAGGACCTATCTCCTGGAAAGGTCTAAGAAGCAGCTAACCCTCCTTAACTCAGTCTCCATTTATAAATTCATGAAGAAGACAGTGCCTAGGATTAGCCACATGTCTGAGTTGAGGTGAAATACAGTGTTGTCACAAGGTATGTGAATTAAATTACACAAAATCTAAATAGTACAATATCATACTAATTGATTTGTTGTCATGTCATGGACATGATATATTTAAAATAATGCAGACCCTCCAAAATTAACATTTTATACAGAACACAGAATTTCCAATGGCAGATATATATAAAACTGAAAATTGTATTGATGTTATTGCCAGATTACAGAACCATTTTGGGTATACATCAAAATGGCCACTCATCTTTTAAAGATTCAATCCAAACCCCAAGCTTATTCCCATCTAATTGATTCTGGATCACAGTGACCCTATATAAGGTTTCAGAGACTCTAAATTATTATGGGTGCAGACAGCCTCATCTTTCTCCCTCGGAGCAACTGATGGTTTTGAACTGCAGACCTTGTGGTTAGCAGTCCAGTACTTATCCCACAGTGCCACCAGAGCTCCTTAGTGTTAAATTATTCAAGATTAACAGGAATTGATCCTACCCCAACACACCAAGTTTAAAATGTAGTTATCTCAATGGTACTCTTAAGTAACCCTACCCCCTCCACACCAGGTATTCCTGAAAAGAATTCTGAAAATCTGTATACTTTGAGCATTTTCAAATTCACAAGAACTTTTTTTTTCATATACTCAAATATTGCCAAAGGATGTTTTCTATTTTGCTATAAATTCTGTTTTTACATTTCTTCTTAGCTGGGACCTATTTTTTTTTTTTTTTTTTTTTAAGTCTTGGTCCAGAAAAAAACATATGTTCATATTATTGTAATCACACTAGTCTGAAAGTTGTTATCTGAAACTTAATTAACCATTATGCTATTGCCTTAAAGTGCCATCGAATCAGTTCTGACTTATAGCAACTCTGTATAGGAGCTTATGGTGGTTTTGAACCGCTGACCTTTAGGTTAACTTTCCAGTGCTTATCCTATAGCGCCACACCAGGAGTCACAGTTAACAATTATATATTTCTTTAATTAAACCTTAGATGATATTTTTCTAAGGTCTTCCTAACTACCATTTTTAAAGGTTAGAGTGAATTCAGTTAATATATTATTATTGCTTAATTAATCTTATTTGTTAAGCATTTAGGTTGTTCCTATCTTTAAAAGCATTTTTTCCCAAAATGAATTATTTTGTTTTAGTTTGCTTCATATCTTTGTCTAATGTGTATTTTGTGTCATTTTTATTTATATCTACCTTTTTTCTTTTTAAATTTTTAAAAATTATGATTTGAGTGAAAGCGTACAAAGGAAATTGGTTATTCATTCAATAATTCATACACATTTTGGTTTGTGATAATGATCACAGTCTCCACAATTTAACAGCACTCTGACCACTGCTGCCATATAGCCAAGCTACAATCACATTCTATAAAACACCAAAACCCAGGCAAGAACCAATACCAAATGCCATACACCAGGGAGGCAGGCAACACCTGTGAAAGTTACTCTGAGTTAGGCAATAAGAAGAGTGAAAAGGGAAGCCCACATCCTGATCACATTTTCCTGGAAGCAATAAGGAAGCATAAAACATACCAAAACATATACTCAATTATGTATGAAGGTCACAGATAAACACTAAACATGTCCAAGAAGCAAAAGCAGATGACCATATCAGCACATATGCAGAAACAAGATAAAATGTCTGAGACAAATGACCTAGAGGTAGACCTGGACTCCATTCTGGAAGAAGAACAGGCCTTGGAAATGCCTGAGAAGGCATTCAGAAAAATGATTATAAAATATTTCAAAACACTTTACAATGGAGTTGAGAAAAATAAGGAAGAAGTCAGGAAAGCACTACAGGAACAATCAAATAAAATAGATACAGCATTGGAAACAATTCAAAACCTACAGAATGACGTCCAAACGATCAGTAACAGAATATTAGAAATAGACAATACTCTGAAAAGGCAAAGGAATAGAAAATAAGAGATGGAAGGCAGAATCAGTGAGCTGGAAGACAAATCTCTCAATACTACTAAGCTAGAAGAGCAAACAGAAAAAAGAATAGAGAAATCTGAAGAAGGTCTAAAATTCATGTTGGAAAACATGAAGAGGAATAACTAAAGAATTATTGGCATTCCAGAACAAGAAGAATTACACAAGTCCACAGAGGAAATAGTTAAGAACTGCTGGAAGAAAATTTGTCTAACATCCTGAAAAGTGAAAACATAAACATTCAAGAAGCTCAACGAAACCCAAGAAGAATAGACCCCAAAAGAAAAATTACCAAGACTTATCATAATCAAGCTCTCCAAAATCAAAGCTCTCCAAAATCAAAAAAATGAAAGGAGCTAAGGAAAACAGAAGTGTTGCATACAAAGGCAAGCAAGTCAGATGAAGCTCAGATCTCTCAGCAGAAACCATGCAAGCAAGAAGGCAATGGGGAGATTTATATAAAACCCTGAAAGAAAAAATTGCCAACCAAGAATCCTTTATCCAGCAAAGCTATCAATCAAATATGACAGTGTAATAAAAACATTCCAGGATAAACAGAAGCTAAGGGATTTTGCCAAAGCCAACCCTGAGCTAACATCCTAAAGGGAGTTCTGTGGATTGAGAACAAATAAGAACAGATAACAACAAGAGATTGACATATGTCCAGCACCTCCCAGAATTAAATTGACAGAACGAAGAGTCGAGAACAGAACAAAACTATAAGACAAAACTCAGAGAATCTGGGAGGTCAGTCTACGATCAAAAGAATTACAATGCAAAAGAAGGTAAACACATAGGAACAGAGATCCAGACGGTGAGGAGGTCAGGTAGATTACAGGATAAAATAGACTGCACTAAATGGAGAGAAAAGTTAATGGACTATAAGGCAACCTCAAAGAAAATTAACACTTAACAACAGACCAAGAGAATGAAAATCCAAGAAGAACATG